CAAATACACCCGATCGTGAACAGAAAAAAGTGTAGTTGCAGTGGATCAGTTTTACAACATCGTGGATATATCGTGGGGATTTTTGCTCATGGGGAAAAGCTAATGCCTCTTAATTGTCAACTGAATTGTAATCCATAGTTGCAAATGAAAGGAATAACAGTTGCTCTGATAAATATCAGAACGGAATAGTGTCTGTCTGGAACTACTGTCTACATTTTATCTTTAAGAGTAATCCACTTTGGGAAATATATAGGCACCCTAAAATGGCTTGTATAGCCAACTTCCTTCTAACGGTATATGATTACTAGATGAAAAATCACATAATGCTTTTGAAAGCACATTTTAAGATAAGTATAGCTATAATTTCTCTGCGCCTTTGTGAGTTGGGCAGGAAAGTTCATAACATTATCTAATATTTCAATTAGAATAGTATTATTTCCAAATCTATTGCAACATTTATGTCAACATTTAGTAACATAATCACATAATTTTTATTAACCTATTATTCCCATAAGTAGTGGTGTGGATAGAGACAACGGGAGCATTACAGAGATGTACCAGTAGCTATTTAATGATACTGACATTTGGATGAGTGTTTAGATTTTCTTAGTCCTCAACTGTATTTAATTTTATTACTACATAATGCTGTAATCTATCTATAGAAATAACCTGAAAATAATATTGTTGAGCTATTGAAGTTGTAGGGCTATTCAGTGAAAGAAAGCAGTACTTTTTGTCCAAACCTATGTTTCCTATCTGCACAGGAGGAAGAAGACCTACAGTATGAAGAAGAGATCTTGCGAAACCCATTCTCTGTCAAGTGCTGGATCCGCTATATTGACTTCAAGCAGAATGCTCCCAAACATATCCTGAACCTGATCTATGAGAGAGCTCTTAAGGAATTGCCAGGAAGGTATAGTTAGCTTTCATTAATTATGAGTGTTTTGAAAATTACATTTTTGCAAATACTAAAATTATTTTTTACCGCGCAATTTTACATTGAAGCTGCTGATTTTTCAAAGTCAATAACTCGGATGCCTGTTCTGCCCCCCCTTTTTTTTGTCCAAGTTTGTCTTTGCTGAAAGAGATCAGCAAAGGGTAGCTAGCACACTTTGTAGCCTAACAAAGTGTGAAGATAGTGGTTCGACGTTTGCTGCCGGAATTGGAAAAGATCAAAATTATTTCGATGTTGATGGTCTCTTTTGTTATGTCTTGCAGCTACAAGCTGTGGTACAACTATCTTAAGCAGCGACGGAAACAAGTGAAGAGCAAATGTGTAACAGATCCCTGCTATGAAGAAGTGAACAACTGCCATGAGCGTGCCCTGGTCTTCATGCATAAGGTACAGTGTTAACCTGCAAACATAAAGGATTTGGAAGAGCCCAAAAGGAGCAGGAAGACATGGATAGGAAAAATGTTTGGCCTGTGCTTTATGCTCAAGGGTGTTAAGTTTGAAACACTTGCTAATTAGTTTTTGTTTGGAAAGGAAGGTGACTATGTTACTTACTTGCAACCCATCCTCAGAGATATGACTCCTAAACTCTCCGTGATCATGTGATCACATTTTAGTTGCTTGGGAACTGACTTGCATTTATGGCTGGTTGCAGTATCTCATGGTCACATGATTGTGTGTTGCAATTTTTTTTTTGCTGTTTTCCAGCAAAAGATCCCAATTGGATAAGCTGGATTCAAACTTACACCACATGATATGTTTAACAAACATGGTGTAACTTAATGGCCAACGTAAAAATAGTTGTAAAGTCAAGTCTAGTCATCTGATGACTCAACTTACTATGGAAAGAGCCAATAATCAAGACTCATTGTAGTGTTTATTAGGCAGCACATGCTGGTGGGATCTCTCCGAAGAATATTGAGTGAGAAAGGGATGCATTCATATTTATACTTTTCAGAAAAGTGAGAGACTAATACATAAGTAACACAGGATGTAAGCATACGTATCCATAAGTAAGGGATCTGTAAAGGAACTCAAGCTACTTCCTGCATCGCTTTGCCTTCAGAAAACAAAAATGGGGACTAAGCAAATAAAACAGGGAGGAAAACATCTCCCATAAATCAAAAGGAGGTGGCAGTTTGGGAATGCCAAATAGTAAAAAGCAAAACATTTAAAACCAGAATGACTTGCAGCCAAAATTCAAGGCTCAGTTGTGGCTGTAATTCAAGGACTATGTTAAGATTTTTTAAGAGGCTTGAGCACTTTTCTATAAAGGTTGCTGTATTGGGACTTTGGGACCTAAAAAACAGGTGAATGAGAGGAAACATAGTTGAAGTGTAAAAATTATGCATGGTGTAGGCAAAGTGGACAAGGAGAATCTATTTTCTCCTTCCCAAAAAACTAGAACCAGAGATCATTAATGAAATTGAATCTTGGAAGAATCAGGGCAGAAAAAAAAGGAAATCTTTTTTAAAACAATGTGTAATTCACTGCCTCAAGATGTGTTGCTGGCTACTAGCTTGACACTTCAAAAATATCAGTGAAAGCCATGGTGATCATTGTCAGTTAATCTTGATAACGATGTGACTGCTTCCGAAGACCATCCACTGAAAGACTGGTGGCCTTCCTTGTACAGTTGGTTGGCCACTGTGAGAACAGACAGCTGGACTAGATGAGCCAGAGGTCCAGTCCAGCTGTTTATGTTCTTTAAAATATTTAAATTTATTTAAATTAAGACTCCCTCTTCTTTTTTTGGTCTTGTTTTCACATTCTGCATTTTTATTATGTCTGTCTATCTCAAAGACTGAAAATGGCTCTCTGAGATGGATTATATTCCAATGAAGTTGTAAAAAAAATCTGTTTAAATTTTTTTTACAAGATAAAGCTTTGAATGAACTATACTGATGGAAATTAATCTTTTGAATAGAATAGAGCTGGAAGAGACCTTCGAGGTCTTCTAGTCCAGCCCCCCGCTTAAGCAGGAGAACCTACACCATCTCAGACAGGTGATTGTCCAGTCTCTTCTTAAAGACCTCCAGTGATGGAGCGCCCACGATTTCTGGGGGTAGGCTGTTCCACTGGTTGATTGTCCTCACTGTCAGGAAGTTTCTCCTTAGATCCAGGTTGCTTCTCTCCTTGATCGTTTTCCAACCATTGTTTCTCGTTCTTCTCTCTGGTGCTCTGGTGAACAACCTGACCCCTTCTGCCTTGTGGCAGCCCCTCAGATACTGAAACAATTTGTAACTAACTATTCTTGGAAATATTAAGAAAAAAGCAAATTCAGTTTTAGTTTTGGGAGTGTTGAAAATTATACATTATATATATCAACTGAATGATATTTCTGTTCATCCTGCTATTTGTTGAAAAGCTTATGTAACATAACAAAACATCTTGACCAATGGTAACAATAGTGAAAAAGGGATCTGAAGGCAACAATCATTCCGTTATATACAATTCAGATGCCCATCTATAGACGAATATAATACAGCTGGTGAAAAGCAATTTGAGCAGTTGTGGAGTATCTTAAGAAAAGTGTTTTGTTTTTCTTAGTTTTAAAAAAATGACTGAAAGATTTATAAGATTATGATTGTTTGGAGGTAATGTTGGAGATAAAATACATTCTGTAAAAGAACTGAGCTTGGGCCACTTAGTAAAACTGAATACAGGTAGTCCTCAAGTAGTAGTAGTAGTAGTAATAATAATAATAATAATAATAATAATAATAATAATAATAATAATAATAATAATAATAATAATAATAATAATAATAAAAATTTGGAAGGGACCTTGGAGGTCATCTAGTCCAACCCCCTGCTCAGGCAAGAAACCGTATACCATTTCGGACAAATGGCTGTCCAGTCTCTTCTTAAAAACTTCCAGTGTTCAAAATTTATGTTGCTAAGTGAGAAATTTGTTATGTGAGTTTTGCCCTATTTTACGAGTTTTCTTGCCACATTTTTAAGTGAATTATTGCAGTTGTCAAATTAGTAACACGGTTGTTAACTGAATCTGGCTTCCCCATTGACTTGTCAGAAGGTTACAAAAGGGGATCACATGATCCCGGGACACTGCAACCGTCATAAATATGAACCATCTGCCAAGCATCCGAATGTAAATCACGTGACCACGGGGATGCTGCAACGGTCGTGTGAAAAATGGTCATAGATCACTTTTTTCAGTGTCATGGTAACTTTGAATAGTCACTAAGCAAACTGTTGTAAGTCAGTTTGTAGTAGTAAGATTAGAAAATTCCTTTAATGGTTACTTGGAGAAAGAATGAGATAAATGAAGCCTGTTGGCAATCGTTAAACAAAACCTGTAGGCCATTCCAATAGGAGATGACAGGTGAAACCTTTTTATTCAAAGGTGGTCCTGTGGATGAGGCTGACCCTGAAGACAAACCAACTGTGCGATCAGATAGTTGGACAATATGGACTTTTGTCTGATTCAGTGAAGGGATGGCTTATTTTTGCTATCTTGTATTTCCTACAGATGCCCCGGATATGGCTAGATTACTGCCAGTTTCTCATGGACCAATGTCGCGTTACCCGTACCCGCAGGACGTTTGACCGGGCACTCAGAGCTCTGCCCATCACACAGCATCATCGTATCTGGCCACTTTACCTGAAGTTTGTCCGACTCTATCCATTACCTGAGACAGCTGTACGGGTCTACCGTAGGTACCTAAAGGTGAGGGTGTTTCCCATGCCCACTATAGGTACTCCTTGACTTAAAACCCATTCACTTAGAGGCCGCTTGAAGTTACAACAGTGCTTTTAAAAAGTCACAATTGGCCCTCTCGTAACCGTTGCAGCATCCCTACAGTTACATGATCAAAATTTGGGCACTTGGCAACCAGCATGTGTATATATGACAGTTGTAGCATGTGAGGATCATGTGATTGCCATTTGTGGCATTCCCAGCTGGCTTCTGACAAGCAAAGTCAATTGGGGGGGGGAGCCAGATTCACTTAACAACCACATGTTTCACTTAACTACAGCAATGATTTGCTTAACAACCATAACAAAAGGTCATAAAATTGGGCACAACTGATTTAACAACTGCCTAGCTTAGCAATGTGAAATTCTGGTCCCAATTATGCTAGTAAGTCCTGTAATATATATTTTATTACAATTTCCCTCTCTGAAGTGGTTACATGCTCTAAAAAAATGTGTGGCCATCCGTCAGGGAATACCATGGTTCTTCCCCTTTAGACTACTTTTTATTACGGGCATAGATCAGGAACTGAGAAATTATTTTTATTGGTAGTTTTCTTGAGACTTTTACTGGAAAACTTTGTCCTGACAAAGACTATTTCTAACATAGTCTAAAAACGGACATAGTTTGTTTGATTGCTGTATGTCTTTTTTTACGCAAAGTGATGTGAATTATGACAAAAAAGGCATAAAATTCTTCAGTAAATTGGCATTTAAGTTGAGGTACCTGTGATCTTCAGCTGATTGATTGTGGTCTGTTATAAGGGCTTCTATTTGTTCTCTGCATGTTTAAGATTAAAAATCAGGTCTAAATACGTTCAGATATCATCAGCTTTAATATGGAAAGCCAGCATGGACATATTTTTTGTGTGTCCATATATGGCAAGTTAATATTCTATCATTCCTCCTTGTATACAACTGTTAAAATATAGATTTTTGTCCTTTTTCCTTCATAAAAGGAAGGAGTGATTACATAATATGTGACTCTAGATATATAGACTATCACAGTTTCATAGCCACCAGGACCGTTGCTAAGAATTTCATGAGGTAAAGTCCACACATCTGTAAGTTGTTAGAGTTGGGGAATAATAAATATACCTGATCCCATTTGCAAGTTTAAGATAAAACTGGACCTCAAAAGATGGTTAAAGTTTCTGAGCTAAGGCATCTAAGGAAAGATTACAGTGGCTTGGTGGTTAGCAGTCTCACTTTCCTAAGCCTATTCTTTCTTAACTGGCATAGGATTTGTGGACAAATAGAACCTCTCACATCATTCACAGAAAAAAAAGGAGACCTGAAAATCGGGGGATTGGGTTCTCTTCTTTCTCAAATAGTGTGATAATTAGATATATTAATAATCAGAAATAGTTTTAAGTTCAGGGTTCCCGAGTTTTGCTCCCCTTTATGTTTTCAATCTGTTACATAATATTGACAAAGTACAGCTTAATTGTTCCTTGATTGCCTCCTGAGCAAAATCATAAACTGAACAGCCTAATATATTCATATAATGAAGGCTGATGAATGCAGATTGGATCTTGTACTCAACTAGCCTTCAGAATAGCATTTCCACCAGCACTCTAACTAATCCTAAAGGCTCTAATGGCTATGTGCTCTGAGCCTTTGATACAGGGGTTTACAGGTATGGTTTCTTTTATGTTGCAGCTGAGCCCTGAGAATGCAGAGGAATACATTGAGTATCTGCACTCTATTGACCGTCTGGATGAGGCCGCTGTCCGTCTTGCAGCTGTGGTGAATGATGAGCGTTTTATTTCCAAGGAGGGAAAATCCAATTATCAGGTAGGTTTCTGTAGTAGACAATCATTTCTGCCATCCAGAATTGCATATTAAATCTCCTTTGTCTGTGTGCGTTTCCTATGCCTCTCAAAAGCTTTTCTGAGTTCTCTATTGCCTCTAATTGTTTGGCACCTTGGGCTTCTTTTTGCAGTTATGGCACGAGCTCTGTGATCTCATCTCTCAAAACCCAGACAAAGTGAAGTCACTCAATGTGGGGGCCATCATCCGAGGTGGCCTGACTCGTTTCACAGACCAGTTGGGCAAGCTGTGGTGTTCTTTGGCAGATTACTACATCCGCAGTGGCCATTTTGAGAAGGTAGGCACTGAATCCAGCCATCTGCATGATCCCGTCCCAGGAAGAAATCCCGTCCCAGGAAGAAATTTCCCAGAGCATAGATTGAGCGGAGTGCAGCCCCCAAATTGTTTTTTTATGCCTGATTTTCCTCTACTAAATTGAGAAAATCTTAGGATAGATTAGGGATCAATCCAGCATTCTGCAGGTCAATTTGTGCAGCCCTAGGAACTTTGAAAGAAAGAAAAAAAAAGTTGTGCACCACTGTCAGCCTTTCAATTGTGCATCACTCAGCTGTCCATCCTTCTAAGGTCAGTAAATGAGGACCAAGATTATTGGGGGCAATATGCTGACTCTGTAAACCGCTTAGAGAGGGCTGTAAAGCACTATAAAGTGGTATATAAGTCTAAATGCTGTTGCTATTTTGCAGCCCTCGAAATTTAGCTGGGAAACAAATACTGTTTCCTGCTTATTAGCTAGGAAATATAAAATTGTTGCCTACCCCTTCAGAGGAGGGCAGTAACAGTATTACAAAGAGTTACGGTTAGGGATTTCAGAGCAGGGCATATGAGAACCAGTTTGTCTAAAGGTTAGGGCATCAGACTACGAGCCAGGAGACTGAGTTTGAGTCCCACCTTAGGAATGAAAACCAGCCAGTCATTCTTCTTCAGCCCAACTCACCTCACTGGATTGTTGCGGAGAAAATAGAAGGGAGGAAGGAGTATTGTGTGTGTTCACTGCTTTGAGTTAATTATAAAAAATAGAATAAAGATAAGATATAAATAAATATCCATTGTACATGCGTACATGTAACTTCTATTCTATTTTTAGGAAAACCTTGTCAGCCTTTGCTAGTTTTAGGAGGTTGAAAACAGAAGAAGAGGCAAGTTGTGGGCCCTGCACAACTTCTGGGCTTCATTTTGAAATAACTTTCCTTTGCCCACACAAAGAGAGAGAAAGAAAAGGAACTACCCTTGGAATAGAAAATCTGAAGAACCAAACACGTGCCATTAGATCACTAGCCTGTTTCAGGTCCAAAGGGGAGCCAATATTATTATGTTTGTTCTTCTCATGGGACTTCAGGATCATGAGCTTCTCCAGGGTAGTGGCAGAAAAATACTTTTGGGGGCTCTTTGAATTCTGTGTTAGCTTCTGTAGTATACTTTTCATAGATAAAAAATTTAATATTCTCTGTATAACTGGAGGGTAGCCTTTAGGGAATGCCAGATAGATTTTAAGAAACCTCTGTTTGGTAGCACATGGATGAAGAAAACAGCTAGAGGAAGCTGGAAATTCCTATCTTTGGTTGTGTTGGATGAGCCCGAAACTTCATCCATTTTCAGATACAAATCAAAAATACTCTTAGTTATTGGACTTTGGATTTGATGGGCAAATCAAATTATGGGCACAATTTTCTGTTGCCTGAAGTTTGATTTTTGAATAGATTTAAGCCTAGCTGTCAACCATCACTTTGAGCTGACGCAGGAGGTGTAATTTCTTAGCAGTAACTGCAGCAATTCCAAAGGGAAATTTCCTCTCTGTTAGATCATGTTCATTCCAGTCAGCTGCCTTTTGGCTGACCCACATAAATGACAACCTGGTTTTTCTAAAGATGGATTGCATCCTGAGAGATTGACTGTGCTTTTATAAACCAATCCCTTTTGAAGAGAAGTGCAAACCGCTAGGTAGTTGAAGAAGAGAGGCCACAAGTTGTGTCCTGGAGCAGTCTCGGTGATTATTGTCTCTGTCTTAGGCTCGTGATGTATATGAAGAAGCTATTCAAACAGTGATGACAGTACGGGATTTCACTCAAGTGTTTGACAGCTACGCCCAGTTTGAGGAGAGCATGATTGCTGCTAAGATGGAGACCACCTCTGAAATGGGACGTGAGGAGGAGGGTAAGAACAGCTTAGCTAGAAGAAAGCAAATGTTACTTTCTCTTTAAAGTGCATCTAGAGCAGGGGTAAGCAACCTTGGCTCTTATATGACTCGTGGACTTCAACTCCCAGAATTCCTGAGCCAGCCATGCTGAGGGGAAGGGAGAGGTTTCCAAGCTGAGCCATGCTGGCTCAGGAATTCTGGGAGTTGAAGTCCACGAGTCATAAAAGAGCCAAGGTTGCCAACCCCTGATCTAGGGGAACATATATAACCCAGTTTTTGAGTCTTCTAAAGCTTTCCGACTTCTACCGATTACGACTTCCCAGATTGTTTGGTCTTAACAATCCTCCTTCATTTCACCATTCTTCACTATTGGCTATGCTGGCTAAGGCTGATGGAAGTTGGAGTTCTCCAACTTCTAGATGGCCACATTCTGTCCATCTCTATCCTGAATCTTTACATGATGCTGGATGTTTCCCTGTGTTTCATTATAGACAACACCTTATATTAATAAAAAACTGCTTCTCTCTTTTTATCCATCCCACCCATTAGTTATAGGCGCTACACAACTCTTACTTTCTTTATTCTTCCCACACTTTTGGAGAACTGTATAGTTGAGTAGAAAAGAACTGTGGTCCGATAGTGCAATTTCATTTTTGCTGTTTTTCTGTTTGGAAAATAGATGATGTAGATCTGGAACTGCGTCTGGCACGCTTTGAGCAGCTGATCGCACGCCGGCCTCTGCTTCTCAACAGTGTCCTCCTGCGCCAGAATCCTCACAATGTCCATGAGTGGCACAAGCGGGTGAAGCTGTATGAAGGCAAACCCTGGGAGGTAGGAGAATGTTCCTCTCTGGAAGGCTAGCGCTGTCAACGTTCCCAAGCCAGTAACCTACAACACTCTTGCCATTTATTAAATACTGGATTTGATTTGGGAACTGGAATTGATGGAAATGCCTTTTCAAGCGGTTAACTTGAACCAAGTTAGCCACCCAGTTTGAGACAGTCCTTGGAGATTAGGTCTGTCTGTGAAAATAGGAGATATTGGGGCTTCTTTTCATGTACTGTACTTGCATCTCAAAATAGCTAAAAAGAAAATTATGTCTCTTCATGAAGTTGAGTTAACACAAAAAGCCTTTTCTTCTTCTCACTTGCTCAGTTTTATATTTCACAGTATCTCACCCAATTCTTACTTACTTTTTACTCCTTCCAGATCATCAACACATACACAGAAGCAGTGCAGACCGTTGACCCATTTAAAGCCACTGGAAAAACACATACTTTGTGGGTTTCTTTTGCCAAGTTCTACGAGGTCAATGGACAGATAGAAGATGTGAGTGATGCGCTGGCCAGAGGCAATAGGCC